AGTTCCTCAGCTCTGACCATGTGAAGACCTAGCAGACCAACCCTAAAACAAGAAAGGCAGTAAACACCTTTCCAAACATTCCGCTTCTGCATTTAAAATCCTACATTTAATTGAACTAGTGAAATTCTCTCACCAAGTCTGCTTTTGCCATGTGAACAACACATCAGAGTACTGCAGGTACAACCAGTGTTTGTGGTAATAGAGGGACTCAAGTAGGAAAAAAAGCCCCTGCAACCCTAGGATACAAGATGATCAGAGGAACAGGAAGAAGCATTTCTAACAAGCAAAACAGAAGCTAGATTCTGAAAAAATCTTCAAACTTACCAGAAGAAAGCCAACAGTACTTGCAAAAACTGTGTTATTTGTAGACTACTACCAAATAAAAGGGCATAAATTTCTCCTGTGACAGAACAGACTTTACTAATGAAAAACCCAATACACTACTGAAAAATTCTGCCAGGTTGTTTTTATTTATAGCACTTTTTATGACACTGTCAAGAGCTGTGATAAAAGTACAGAAATTAAATGCAAGTAAAAACATAAATGACTTTTACTTCATTACTCATTTAGATGGATTAGAGAACTTCCCCTCATAGAAGCAACATGATATCATTGTATCACCTTTTGACTAATCCTCTGTCAGGCTATCTAAAATTATCAACTCTTTGTTTTGCAACTCTGCTTCTTATAATTTCTTCTGCTAATCAGCTTTCCAGCCTCCCATCTTCTGTCTAACACGGTCAAAATATACCAACTTCCAGGTTATTTTTTACACATTTATTGTGACTAGTATTCTGTAGCATGCAGCACAAGTGCTACCTTATGATACCTCCCATTTCTCCTGACAAGCAGGATGTTGCTCCACAGACTTAAAAGCTAAACTGACTAAGAGCTGCTTTCAGATCCATTTTACTTTTTTAAGTAGATATTTTTAAAAATTTAAACAGTGTCTCAATAGAACATTAACTTGCTTCCCAGATTTTCTCACAGAGGAACTATAGAGTTTTTTCTGATCCACAGACATTAAATCAGGAAATACATGCATGATATCCAATTTCAGAACTACTAAAGCTGGCAGGGCCCAGAAATGCAATCCGTACTGACTAGCTGAAACTGGAAAAGGTCATCTCCATAGCTCACTACATGGTAAACACGGAGAACATCCAAACTCCAACCACAACCCTTAGGCTGATGAAAACTTTAAAACCTCAGAACATTCCCCTACAACATGATGCTAACCATAATAAGTGCAAAAACACCCTCTCCCTCTAACCGCTATAAGAAAGCAAAGGGAAAAAACAAATTTAACATACTCACTGCCTACAGCTCTAAAGGAGAAAAAATAAGTGAATCCAACACCTTGCAGCAAAGCATGTTTATTTCTCTGAAGCAATAAAAATAATGAGTAGAAGTGCAACACAAAGAAGGCATGAACACAAGACAAATGTAAGAAAATATAAGAGTTTTATTATCTACTGAAAGGGACAGGGAACAGCAATCAGAATATCGTGATTACTCTCACCCCGGTCACCTCGCAAGCTGAAATACCAGCAGGCAACTACTTGTCTGACAGTGACAGCTGGCCCAAGTACCCAAAAGTGCCCCTATTTTTATTAGCAGATAGTAGCCAGAAGTTAAGTTTGGATTCACAAGAAATTAACATAAATTCTTCAGTCCATATTCCACACTGTTTGCGGTTAAGAACAAGCACCTTATCGCATATGTTTTATCTGAAAATGGAGAAAGACAGTAAATGCTAAGCTAAGGAAGACTGTTAGCAAGAATACATGTATTTTTTACCACAACTGGTCAAACTATTAGAAATGTATGTTACTGTTTACTGGGTTCTTGCAATTAGAATGGAAGACTGACATTCTCTTGCTATTCTTTCCCTAAGATAGTGAAACATTTCATGATTAAAATTTCTGAAAATGCAAGAAACAGACCATTAAAAGCAAATCCAGAGCTAATACATTTTATAAGCACTGAGGTAACAGAAAACTTTAAGCTTTAAAGAAAACCAATGGTACATACGTGCTACTATCAGGTATTTCCCTTCTTGATCTATGTGTTAAACACGTTTAATTTATCCCGTGAAAATAAACAATGCCAGTTCTTCACAAAAATGCATCTGCTGACCCAAATTACACACTGGTTAAGGCTGAATGAAAAATAAGAACTAATGATAAAGAGCTGAATAGCTGTAAGATGCTAGGTATGCTGTAAGTAGAAGTATTGCAGATTTCATGAATCTAATAGCAGCACTATGAGCAATGACTGACGAAAGCCATTGCAAAGAAACTGGAAAATTACTATTACTTGTTATTACTGCACAAAGCAGACAATATTTATGTATAAAGATGTCCAAGAAAATAAACACAATAATGGCGGTAAGTGACTAGAACAAACTGCATCCAAGCATTTTGCAGAAAATGGAAAATAGAGTAACCAAACCATTAAGCAACTATTAATAAACTCATTCAAGTCAATAACTAAGCTTCTTAGACTTATTCTATGATCTCCAGTTCATACTGCTTAATTGTAAATCCAATCTCTTCTGTGAGCAGAAATACACCAGCTTTACCGGAGGGGAAAAAAATAAACAAAAAAAACCTCAAAAATCCCAGAGAACAAACCCCATTTGAACATATTTTCAAATGACTAATTTTATAGCAGTCCTTCAGTTCTTTCCATCATTCTGGCTGCAGCTATTCATCCCACTGTTCAGGATGCAGCCATCTCTACATATGATTTTAATTATGCATTACTTCTGCAAAAAAAAAAAAAAAAAAAAAAAAAGAATTTCTAATTTCTTACATGCTATGATAGGAGGCAGATTTAAGGTAAAATACAATACCTCAGAGCTACACAAAATTCTCTCCTAAAGCTTCCTCCTCTGAAGTCATCCTCCAACATCAAGTTTTAACGATGAAATAAGCATCACCAAGCAAAGCCATGACACACACTCAACATAAATATTTTATTGGACTAGTCAATCACACAAACTCTGGCAGATTAAGCTTTGTCAAGACTTCTATATCCAAACGTTTGAACTTATTATTTAAATGAAAGTGTAGATCTCTAGCTAAATTTGCAGGTATACAGAAACCAGAATAATGCATTAATTCAAAAGTCTGCCTAATCAAGAGACACTGACTGGTTTATCGTTACATTTTTACCAGTACTTCCATATTACAGGATTTAGGTGATTCCCTGTAAGCATCCCAATAACATTTTGCCCATCAGCACACATGCAGTATAGCTAAACAAGATAAATGTCTAATGATGACCTCACCTACTCTCTACCAAGACAGATGTGCCTGTACCTTACTGCCCCAAAACCTCACAGGAGAAAGTATAACACACAGCTAACATCGCTCTGGGCTCCCTTCCCCCATCGCCAGCCTTAACTTTTTGCAGGGTGATTTCTTCGCTGAGGAATTGTCTTGTTACATCTGCAAGTCAGTAAAACTCAGGTGAAAAGTCACTCCTGCAAACCCCTCCCCCGAGATACATCGACCCAGCAGACCCTGCACTACCCACGGCTTCTGCAGAATAACTGGAACTTTTAGCTCGGGGCCTTGGGTAATGCAGCAGATGAGAGCATTCACTCACATTTCAACAGCGCGCATTCCAAGGAATCTGCACCCTTAGAGAGTCACCACAGGAGAGGAGGGCATTGCTGAGCAACTTCACTGTGGGCAAACTAACTATACAGCTGCTTGAACTTGTGCACATATTTAATAACCCTATAAATCGAAGTTATCACCTCTACAACACTTGTAGCAGGAACTAATTTCCAAAATCCACTCATATGGATAGCGATAGTACTGGAAAACACTAGAAACAGACCTTTCAAATACAGAGCTGTACAACCCCCAAAGACCGACTCACTATTTTGCACAAAAAGTCACACTTTTTGTAGAGGTTGTAAACGTGACGTTTGTTGACGTCAACGACAACGTCGTACCTTTTGCAGAGGTTGTAAACTGAACTCCAGCGAGTCATGATTTAAAAATAGTAATTAATGTATTGTAAAAACAACAAAAAGTTAACTTTACAAAGAGGTATTTTACAAATGTTCATGAAGTTAGTGAAACGTTACCATAGAAAAACAAGTACTGTTTACATCAGTAAGCATCTCTGCTTTAGCTAGGAAAACACTTTGTGGAGTCTTCGGTTTATTCAACAAGCCTCAGCTGTATGCTGTAGTAGATCCCTCCTACATACACTTTCATAAAGCGGATCTGAGCTTGCAAGATACCACGCTGCAAGCAGCGCTTATCCACAGGCAGCGAAGCGTCTCCAGAAACAAACATTCCCTCATTTTGCTACAAACAGCTGGGGAAACTTTCCCCCTCAAGGACACACCTCTGAACACGGTCACTCTTCCCACCCACCATCACATATACACACACACACACACACAGAGACACACACATTTTCGTGGAACGTGATGCTTCACGTTCCACTCATCCAGCGCGGTTTGCAGCGGTACCAACGCAACCTCGGCTCTGTCCCCACACTAGAGCACTTTTATTCCCCATCCACACAAGGGCTCCTCGGAGTGTTTCCGCCGCCGTACCTCCTGCCCGGCCTGGGTGATCTGGCGGGAGGGCGGCTCTTCCCCGGGGCCCAGTGTGGAGCAGGAGGGGGCGGTGGGGGACACCGGGGCGCAGCCGCGGCGAACAGCGGCCGCACGTGAGGCGAGGAGGGGGCAGCGCTCGCCCGGCTGCGCCCCGGGACAGGCGCTCGGCGGGCTCGGGGCGGGAGCAGCAGCCGCTCCACCGCCGCCGGGGCAGCGCCCTTGAGCCGCCGCCGCTCGGGGCCCCTCCCGCCGGCCCGGCCCCCCCGTCCCTCCCCCGCCCCGCGGCACCGCGGCCCGGCGCCAGAGGCCCCTCAGAGGCGGCGCGAGGGTCCGCAAGGCGGGAAGGGCTCCCAGGGAGTCCCACGGCGGGAGCCGGGATGAGGAATAGGTGGGGGGCCCGTCCCGTACTCACCGCCGAGGCGCCGCCGCGGTGCGCTGAGCCCCCGTTCTTCTCAGTGCCGGGGGCGGCTCCGCCCGCCCGGGAAACACGAACCCCAGGAAGCAAAAGGCGAAGAAGCTGCGAAAAGCGTACCCCCCCCCGCTCCGCCGGCGCCGTCCAAAAAACACCACCGGGAGGGGAAAAAAAAAAACAAAACCAAACTTTCCTCGCCGCCGTCTCTCCCTCCCCCGAGGAGCACGAACCCAAACACACCGGGACACGCCCCCGCACCGCCCCTCGCACCGCCCATTGGACGGCGCCCCGCCGACCCCCACGCTGATTGGTCGTTCTACCCGCTCGTCTTCTCCTTCCGCTCCCCTTTCCGCCCCTTCACGCTGCCCATTGGGAAGAGTCTCGGGGACCTCTCCGTCCATTAGCCAGGACGCACATCAATCACACAGGAGCAACGCCCCTCGGCCCTTTTGATTGGGTTCTCGCGTCACTACACGCTCACTGATTGGCTGCATTTGCTGGCTGTCACCGGTTAGCGTTGCCCCCCTTCACATCTCTCACTGGCTCCCGCCCCTTCTTCCTCTGCCAGTTAGCTGCGAGATTTGCCCCTTAAATGGGGCACTCGCCCGCCCGCTTCGACTTGTCCCGCCCTTCCGCCCTACGGATTGGGTTGTGGGTCGCACCCTCCGACTCCATCAGAGAAGGAATGTACCCGTTACACCGTAACAGCGCGGAGACCCGCCCACCGAGCCGCGCTCCGCGGCTGTCGCTGGAACCCTCCTCAGCCGAGGCGAGGTTACGTCAGTTTGTGCACTCATGTGCCGGCCGCACGGGCGGGGCACCGTGACGGGCACAGGCGATAGCGCGTATGGCTGCGGCTGCAGCCGCTCAGCGGCGCCGCGACACGGCACCAACGCCACACTGCCCGCCGCCCCAAGCGACATCTCCGCTTCGTCCCGCCCCCGCGCGACAGCTATTGGGCAGGATAGGTGCCAGTCATGCAGCTCGCGAAGCTCATTGGCCGTTAGCCGACGCCTGCGCAGCCAACCACCCCACGATGTCACCCGCCGGATGACACAGCAACCGTGGGCTGGGGGGTGGGGAAAGGCAGAGCCGTGCCTATGATTGGTTGGTTTCACTGTCAATCTCCCTGGAAGGGAGCACGGTGGGCGGGGTGACGGCGCGTGCCTGCCGCGCCCCACGTGGCCCGAGCAGCTGCGCACGTGACGGGGGCCCGCGACCGGGAAAACTTGTGGAAAAGGCATTTAGGGTGACTACGGCGTCATTCCTAAATGTAATCGTTACAAACACACGCTGGTCTTCATTATTCGTGGGGTGGACAGAGTCAGAAACTGCGGGGTGTGTGTGTGGGGGGGGTCGGTGCGAGGCTGAGGCAGGAGCGGGCCCGGGGACGCTTTCCCGGGAGGTGGTGTGATGTGAAGGACGGGATGAGCAGCCTTAGCCCTGGGCTGCAGAGAGGTGTGGGCAGCACTGCTGGATCGCAGAATGGGAAGGATAAAATGGGAGGTACATAAACAGGACCTGCATGGCACAAAGGATTAGCAGAGTGGAAGAGCAGGACCAGAGGATCATTGAGAAATTACTGGGAGGAGCACGTGGATAACAGAAGCCTGTGGAGGATAAACGGAGCAAGAGGTTCTCCTTGTACCTAATTTCTATGCTCAATCTCATTCTCCTTAATCTCCAGTAAATTTGAGGGCTGCTGTTCCATTGATGAGTGTCACTTCCTGACTTCGGCCAAGGCTGCAAGCCAGTGCAATGTTTCCATTTGAGCTCCTTGAGAGAATCCTGTTACAACCTGATCAGCAGAGCAGCTGAAGGGATGTGATGTTCCTGTCACCTTAGCAAACAGGTCTGTGGGTGTTTGGTGAAAACGTTCTCTTGTCTTGGAAGAGCCACAGAGCCCTTCACAGGTTAGTCACCAGCAGGAGGGACAGCTGCCAGCACAGGAAAGCCGCGTGGGCTGGTGGCACACACAGCAGACAAGATCCCTGCAAACTCAGGCTACACAAGTCAGTAAAGAACAATTAATCTTTTGATGGCTTCTCCATTCTGTAATGGTAATTGATTTTTTACATTGATTGGTGGGAAAAGAACCACATTAATATGAGTAAGATTTCATACTGGATATGCACATACTTGTTACTGTGGTGCTGTAAGGAATACAAAACGCTCTGCATAAATCAGTATGAATTAGTAATATAGCTGTTGGATGCACTTTGCCTGTCTTCCTCATTGTTTATTCAATGTTTGAGAACTGTCTGTATCCTTTTTTTTTTCCAAGTTGTAAGCAGAAATCACTAATACACCAAGAGTACATGCTTTGGGAGAGAAAGATCTGACCAAGATGCTGACCTTGTCTTTGCTATACGTAAAAAAACAATAAAATAATTTCCCTCTTTAAATTCTCTTTCCCCTTATTGGTGTTCTTTTGTGAGTGTCCCTTCCCATGTTTTGCTCAGGGTTTTGGTGTGCACATAGCATGTAAAGGAATATGATTTATTTTGCGTAAGCCTAGGGAACCTGATACTTTAATTTTGGAGGAGCAAAAGATACCACTCTCCATTGTCCCTGTAGTTTCATACTGCAAACAAACTGGAACAGTAGAAAGCAAGCAGATTTTGTTGGTTTCTGTGACGTTATAATGAATGACTCAGGAGTTCCCACTCAGGTTCACTTGTGGATTTGGAAGGAATCACAGCTCCCAGACAGGTTCTGGTTCTCATGAAGTCCAAATGCTTAGGAACAAAATAGTTCTTCCTGGTTTTTTCATACCTCCCCACTGCCGATCGTGGGACCAAGTTGGACAGTGGCAGTACATTTTTTCATCCACTGGGTGTCAGTATTACACTACCGCTGTGATGCCTTTCCAGGTGCTGGGAAAGGGTGGATTTCTTTGGGGTGAAAGTCTTCCCTTTCTGATAGAGAAGTGATGAGAAAAACCATTATAGCTTTGAGGAGTGGTCTCACTGCAGTATGAGCGTTCCCTTTTACTCCTGCAGACACAGGCTGGGACCCTGCCCGCAGACGTCCCAAGTATCAAAGCTCACACAGACTGTAGCCAGAGAGACAGACTTCAGAGTTGGGGTCAATTCCACAGCCTTTTGACTCTTAAGTTATGAAAATACATCACCTCTTCTTTTTAAAATTAAGTTTATTATAAATACTGCGTCTGACAGAGCGACAGTCTAGAAAAGCCTACTTCTCTAAACAAACAAAGAGTGCTGCCAGCTTAGGACAGTTCTGGATGCAAGAATGAGAGAGGACAAGAATTTAGAAACAGCACTGATATTTGGAATTAGTAATCAGAGTTTTTGACACTGGTTTATTATTTCCAAAAGTTCCATGACATGATTTTTTATAGGCTTGATAGGTTTTTAAATCAATGTACCCAAATGAACTCAGTCACTAAAACTACTGATATTTTTAGAAAAGGCCTTTGCTAACCCTGCCTTTTTTTCTTCTTTGACTTCCCTAAACAGCAGCTTACTTGTGGACACAGTAAGCAACCAGCTACTTACCTGCATGGTGATTAAGAGAAAAGTTATTTTTTGGAAAACCATAGTAAAGTGTGTGCTGATGCTCTTTATGATGTCCTGTGTTTAGATGTTTTCATGTGAAATGTAACATTTAATATGTGATACAATGCTGTACTTCCATCTATGTCTAAAATGCAGGCAGCACTGAAAAAGAAGATCAAAAAGATCATCAAAAGAATATTTTTAAAAAGATGATTCATAGAAAAAGTAATAAAAGAATTCATGTTCTCTTGTTTTATATAAACACAGGCTGATTATTTTCTTACTTACATCTTTCCCCTGGAAGCTGCTTTTTAATCCATCCTTTTCTGAGAAGACTTCAGGGAAGTTTCAGCAGGCATATGGCATCAATATATGAGGGGAATAAACCATAAATATTTACAAATATTATAATCCTGTTTAAATAAATACCTATTATCCTTATTTAAAAATATTTATCCTAATAATTACTTTCAGTAGAGATACCTGCTAAGAATTCAGCATTTCCTATTCCCTTCAATTGAGTGGTGAGAAGTTTTCTCAGCCATTCTTGTGCATCCTTCATGGAAGTTTTTAGGGAACAAGCAAGAGAGAGGAAGTAATACTTAGTATGCCTGGGAGCTGTAAAAATCAGGATAGAAAAAAGGAATTTGTGTTTAAAATAGAGAAGAGCAGATTTCAACATAATTATTTTTCCTTTCTAAGCCACCCGTAACAGCAAAGAAGAAACACAAAAGAGCAATTTAAGTAAAAAGAAAGTAATGAATACTAGAATTAAGTTAAATAGCAAAAGGAAATTAGGGAGATGTCAGATGTAATTTTCAAATTTGTATGTTAGTCATGTGATTAGTCCTAACATTCCTGCTTTACAAAAAACTGTAAAAATATCTTTAATGACTGTAAGTGCTCAGGACCTGAGCTTTAAGTCCCAGTCAGACACCTCCACATCTCTAACTGCTCTTAATATAGTAGGCTTATTTTGACATTACCTATTTTCATGTGTCATACCCAGGAAAGACATGCAGCTGCAGTAGAAACAAGAGCAGTTTATGCATGTCTTGTGCAAAATGCTTAGCAGAAGTTTCAATTTGTTTTGCTGTCATGCTCACATTATATTGTTGGAAGGAAAAGGGAGAAAGAATTTTGTCAGCCCACAGCTAAAGGGGAAAAATTGTTAATATGATGGCAGTGATTTTAAATAGAGAATAATTCATGATATGACTTTGTTTTGTTTTTCCTGGAGGCAAAATTAAAACAATGCTTCACTAACATTATTTGAAGCTATTTTAAATACAGCTATTTTCAGCTAAATAATGCTAACATGTGGAGGTTTTTTTAATGAAAAAAACAGACAATTAGGAAAATATTTTGAAAAATATTGTAATCTTTAACACAGTCTCTTCTTGCCTCTTTTCATTATTTTCAGTGCTGAAAGTGAACCAGAATGTGTATAGGAGTTATCAGCTTGCAGTTATGCTAAGGCTAGAATTAGTGCAGATCTTCAGACAAGATTTTAATTAACTTTTAATGTTCCCATTCCACCAGCTTGGTTGAGCTATGATACTCAACATCAGTAGCAGCCTGTGCAAAACTTTTAAGTCCCCTTTAGCTGAATCTAAATGGAAACTAAAGTATAGGCAGGTGAAAGTAATTATAATATCATTTATGTACCCATTTATGTCACCCAGCTCCATCCCAACAGAAAAATCAGGTC